ATTCCCGATTGGGTGTTTTTTTTTTTGTCGGGGAGAGAGCCCCGCCAAAAAAAAGGTTCCACGAAGGGGGGGGGTGGGGGGGGGGGGGGCACACATCTTGCAATATTTAAGCAATTTCCGTGGGGGAGGGCAGGGGTAGCACGTAAGCTCTTCGGGAGAGGAAGAGTGTGGCCTCGGCTGTTTGCCCATGTCAGGAGAACAACCGATGCAAGTAGCGCGTGCTTGCTGAGGACGGTGGTGGTGGTGCTGGCGATGGCTGGGGGGCAACGCGCGTAGAGCAGGGGTAGCGCACGGCACCATCTGCGGAGAGTGAAAGAGAGGGGGGCGACGTGGTTTCTGCAGGTGGTACATTTATCTGCCTGCGGCTGGTCATCTTCGACGTCCGTCCAGGCCAGCCGTAAAACAAGCAGGCCGCGTGTTTTTTAGGAAAAGTCAGTCGGAGTACGCGAGACACGCAGACGATGTGATGGATTGTTGGATTGTTGTTTTCTCTCGAGCTTTGTCGGCCTCTCAGGCACACTGGGAGAGTATGAACCTCTAGCGTAGGTGTGCACATCGTTGGCGTTGCGGACACTTGAGGTTGGCAGTCAACGCGCTGCTCGCACGGCAAGGAGGCGTAGGCCAGCCGTTGTCGTGGAAAACACACACATGACGCCTGCTGTCGATTTCCGGAGGCGTGTTTCAGTTGGCGGTTTCGGCCTACCGTGGGGGCAAGGCTGTTTTTTTTTTTTCGCGTGTACAACTATGTACAGCAGTAGTGCGTATATTTGGTAGATGCCGTGGAAACACGAACGAGGATACGACGCACTATGATTCACGTATTAGTATATGTTTGTCTTGGGGACCACTGTCTTCCTTGCGGACCCAGAGCAGTGCTGTGTGAATGCGGACAAGTGTCGGGTCCACAATAGCAGCGGTAATTCTTCTCTCTTTTTTTTTTCTCGCGGACATCGTGCTCGAAGGGAATGCCGATTCACGCCTGAAATTTTGTTCCGATAAAAACAGCGGTCATTGCTGCGCCTGTGCGCTGTACAGCTAAGCAGAACTTCCTTTGGCCTAGACATGTGCCCGGCCGGTGTTGACGGATCGCCTACTCTGGCTGCTCGCACGAAGTAAGTTTGTTTCTTGGTTGTGAGGTTCAACCCCGCTTCTCGCCGTCCCACGTGTCCTGATCGAAACCGCAGCGATCGTTTAAGCTCGCACAGCACAACATCTCGTCGTCTGTGTTGCAGCTGTCTTGTGATCCAGACAGACCGATGCAGCAGCTCTCTCTGTGACAAGGCATGTATACCAGCTGCAGCTGCTGTTCGATACTGCGGTCGTTTTACGTTCAGGTTGACAAGAGAAGGAAAAACGCCTGAGCACCAACAGAGGAATACGGCAGGACTTTTGGCAGTGCCAGCACATGCGGCTTGTTCCAATTTGCGACGAAGATTTTCTCGCGTCAATATTCTACCTTCGTGGCAGCCATCTGCACGGACAAGAGAAAAAAAAGACACAAGAAAGTGAATTTCCACGAGCAACGCGGTTAGGTGCGGCACCCGCAAAAAAAAAAAACAGCTACAGCGACGTCGTGGCCAAAATGAATTTGTGGTGAACGAGATGGGTTCGGAAAACGCAAAGCGCACCCATAAATACGAGCCCAATCTAGTCTCATCTAGGAAGGACCCCGTGTTTGCTCGCATCGTCATCATCCTGCCGTAAAACCGGCGTGTCTTTTTTCCGCCCTGTGGGTGAGTGGAACAAAGCACGGAATTTTCGAATCCAACAACGTGTTTGTGTGTGCGCGTTTACTCGTCCCATCTGTTTTGGCGCCAGTCTACAACCTTCTGGTGTACATTTTGACGTACATTGCATGATTCAAACAGGAGGGAAATATCACTCGGACCCTGTTTTTTTCAATGTATACCAGAAAGGATTTTTTTGTTTTTTTTCATCCTTTCTGCCGTGAGAACAGTCATGCAATTCGGATGATGTAAAAAATAGGCCGGGAGTAGCCCCAGCCAGGTCCGAAACCGGCCATGTTGTCTCCTCAGAGACTAACGAGGAGGCGGCACACCCTCCGTAACAAGTGCGCTGATTTGTAGAGTTGGACGATGTAAAAAGAGGAATACAACACCGTGTCCCGTTGGAACGGCGTTCCTTTCGAGAGATGCCGTGGCAGCACAAGCGGCTCATTCACGCCCGGAAGACGCCCTGGTGAAGTATTGAACGATAATAGACAGCATGGCCACAGAGGCATTCAACAGGCGTTGGACTGGGTGACGGTTTAATGAAAAAAAAATACTTGAAGTAAGAAATAAAACCACACCAGTGTGCACCCGTCACCAAGACTGAAAGGAGGCCAGATCAAGTTCCGCATTTTTTGTGTTCGGCAAACCTAGGCAACTGCGAGCTTTGTGCGATTTGCACCTCGCCGTGCTCTCGACGCCAGACAGCAAATGACGTGAAAAAAAACAAACAAGCAAAACCACTCACTGCAAGGAGAGCGGCGAAGTGTGCAACACAAGCAAGCGTAAGCGAGTCTGCAGGCCCATATAACTGGTGCGGCATTCGCTCATCACAACAGGTAGCACGAAAGAACCCAAGGCACATCATCTGAAAAAAAGGGGTACCAAACAAAGACGGAAATCTACCCTTATCCTCAAACTCCGCAACAAAAAAACGGCAACAGCAGCAGCAGCCTGGCGAACAAACGCTCATGCACAAGAAACCGTCGGCGTGCCACCGCCAACACACTACTCTCGCTGTCAAAATGACACCTACTCTGCCGATGTTACATGGCACATTCACAGATAAGGAGAAGGGAAAAACGTCCACGTGGGTCTCAGTAAGGCACAGTACCACATAACCGCGGACCGATGCCGCAAACCTTCGTACTTTGGGCACCCCGAGCAACGCCACGAAAAGTTAGAATAGCGATAACGCACTACTAGATCAATCTACCCTGGGATTCGCGAAATCTGAGCGGTTGCTGGTAATGCACTGCTTCTTACAATTCTCCACAGAACAATATTTCAAGTCGGCCGAGTCAAACATCAAAACACCAGTCTAACGGCCAACCAACGGAGACCAACACGTCAATTAAGCCCCCCCCCCCCCCGTGTTCTCCCCCCACCTCGTCACCACACCAGCAAAGCAGCCACTTCATGCCGACGCCGCGCTTGCATCAGAGCCAGGTGCCTCCACTCCCCTCTCCAGCAGCTCCAGCGCCCTCTCCGCCCCTTCCCGACCGGTCATCGTCTCGGAAGCAACTTTCCCCGCGACGCCGGCCTTCATGGCCACCCCCGCCGCAATCATGTCCTCGAGCACGCCGCAGACCTCCTCCCACCTGCCGGCGGCGGAGTGGGCCGCAACGACGACCGAGTACGCGAACGGGGTGCGCAGCAGCCCGTACCCCTTAATCTCCTCGACGAGCGCCAGGCTCTCTTCCCACAGCTCCCGGCTCGCGAGCGCGGGGAGGATCCAGCTGTAGCTCATCACGTTCGGTGTCAAGCCGGCGTCCTTCATCTCGGCCAGCCTGGCAAGCGCTTCGTCGACCTCCCCCGCCTTCGCCGCCGCAATGATGGCACAATTGTACGAGCGCCAGTTCAGCGCGATTCCCGCCCCCCGCGCTTCCTCGAGCAGCTCCTTGGCCTTCCGCGCGTTCGACCCGTCGGGGGGGGAGCTGACGCACGCTTGGAGCGCCGACGCGTACAGCTTGCTGGAGGGAGCCAGCTCCGGCCTCGTCGTGCTTGCCGCCTTGACCTCCTCCAGCAACTCCAGAGCTAGATCGACCCGGCCCTCGGAACCGCAGGCCGACATCGCGGACTGGTAGCTACTCGGGTTGGGGCTCACTCCGGGAGGTCCGTCCATATCGTGCAGAAGCACCACGGCTGCTTCGCCCTGCGCCGCTCTGTCGCAGGCGTCTAGCGCCGTGTTGTAGTGGTAGACGCTGGCCTTGACGCCGGCGGCCGGCATCTCCGCGAGGATCTCGAGCGCCTTCTCCCACTCCTTGGCGTGGCCGCAGGCGGTGATGACGGCGGTGTAGATGGGGCTGTTTGGGGCTAGCCCCTGCGCGGTCATCTCGCGCAGGTGCACCAAGGACTGCTCCCACATGCCGGCCTTCCCGCAGGCCGTGATCACGGGAAGGTAGGTGGCCGCGTTAGGTTCCACCCCTGCCGCTCGCATCTCCCCCAGGAGCGCCGACGCCTCAACCCCGCGCGCAGAAGTAGCGCACGCCAAGATGGCAGCGTTGTACGAGGAGAGACCCAGCTCGAGCCCGCCACCCTTCATCTCGCCCAGGAGCCCAACGGCGCGCTGCCACTGGCGGGCAACCCCACAGGACGCTATCGCCGCGTTAAAGTTGTGGCAGTTTGGTTCCACCCCGACCTCCCGCATGTCGTCGAGCAGCCGGAGGGACTCCTCCCACTTCTTGGCCTTGCCGGAAGCGGTGATGACCGCGCTGTAGGTCTTGGGGTCTGGCTGCAGCCCGTTCTGCCGCATCTGGCGCAGCATCTTGGTGGCCTTGGGCCACAGCGAGGCGCACCCCGCGGCGCTGATGGCCACCTGGTAGGTTTCCAGGTCGGGCACCATCCCGTACGTGAGAGTCATCTCGTCGATCAGGCTTGTGGCCCTCTCCCACTGCTTGTTGCGGACGCAGGACTGCATGGCGGCCTTGTAGCACCCGCTCTCGGGGGTGATCGCCACGGCGCGCATTTCGTCCAGCAGCTTGAGCGAGGCCTTCCAGTCCCCCGCGCGCCCGCACGCGAGGCTGGCATCGCGCAAGGCGTCGAGGTTGAGGTTGGCCTCGGGCGCGTCGCTGTTGGCGGGCAGGGCGTCCAGCATCTCGAGGTAAATCTTGAGCGCCTGCTTCCACTTGCCGCTCTTGGCGAGGGCCGTGATGGTGGTCTTCACGCAGTACACGTCGATGAAGCCGTCGGTGCGCACCCTGGCCTGCCTCATGTCCTCGAAGAGCTGCATCACCTTGTCCCCCATCCCGCTGTCCCCGCAGGCCGAGATGGCCGCGGTATAGGAGAACGGGTGAGGCGTCTTTCCGCCGACCTTCAACTCTTCCAGCAGCTCCAGCACCTTGCCTGTCTCCCCCGAGTTGCCGCAGGCGTAGATCGCCGCGCTCAACGAGTACTCGTCGACAGGGCTCCCTTCCCCGAGGTCCTCCCGCCGGCGCTCCAGGAGCTCCAGCGCCTCCCTCCACCGCTTCTTCGACCCGCACGCCTTGATCGCCGAGCTCACGCAGTAGGAGTTGGGCTGCAAACCTCGCGCTCTCATCCTCTGCAAGATGTCTAGCGCCTCTTCCCATCTCCGCGCCTTGGCCATCCGCGAGATGCAGCTGGCGTACATGAACGTCGTGATTCTGGACTCAGATGGCTGGGCGTCGGAGGCTTCCTCGGCGATCTGCAGCTCGCGAAGCACCCCCCGCCAGTCCGTCGGGCGCATGCACTGCACTTTCTGAACGAAGTTCTTCGAGTGCAGGTCGGCAATATTCGCTCTCTTGATGACTCCCAATCTACGTGCCGCTGACGATCCCGCTGTGTCTTCAGAAAGTGGCTGGGTTGGCGTGGGTGACGAGCTGGTTCCCGCTGATGTCATTGCTGTTGCCGCTGTTGCTGCTGTTGCTGGTGCTGCCGCTGCTGCTGCATGTGTTGGATTTGCTGTGCGGAGAGGCAGTGCTCTGCGGGCACCGCTGGCAGCGACGGTAGTTTTAGCGTCAGCGGCTTTCCGCCATTGCGGAACACACGGAAGCCATGGATTGGCCTCGAAGCTTGTGGTGGGAGGAACGACGAACGCCATCGTAGTGCTGTGCTCTCGCTCTCTCCGCGAGTGCGTGCGTGTCAGCACCCGAGACACAAAATGCGGCGCAACACCACTGAGGGGGTTCCGCAGCTGAAGCGAGGGATGCGACCTCCAACCTCCAACCTCCAACCTCCAACCTCCAAGGCCACTGTTTTTTTTTTTTTCGTTGTACCTGCCACTTCTCCGGGGGTGCATGGTGGTGTATTGAAACGGGTACAATTTGACTCCACCCGACACACGACTCGACCATACAAACAAAAAGATCGTCGTGTGGTAGGACCTGCCGAAAGCAAGTACTTGCAGCTTCAGTCGAGTTCATCTTTCTTTTTCCTGCTTTTGAGGGTGCTTGCCAGGCAGCAGGCACTCTGTGATCCTGGGTAAATCTTCGTGAAATAAATGCTAAATCTTTTGTGAAAAACCTTTCACCTCTGGTGTGACTTTCGTCCCTGTTCCTGCGGCCTCTGCGCAAGGAAAACAAGACTGAAAAAAGGAAAGCATTCCCTGTAGTACTGTCGCTGTTGTTCCTCTTTTATAGGCACCTGATGTCTACTCTGCGGCCCTTCCTTCACAGCAGAGACAACAAATAAATTAAGAAAAGGCAAGAAGATTATTGGCATTTTTTGCCGTGCGGTAGCTTGCCGCACACCTGCCGGTGGAGCCACTGCAGTCGATACCACGGGAGATTGCTGTTTTATTTGTCTCTCTGTCTCCGACGGACTGGATAAAACGATAAAACGAATATTCCTTTCGATCTTGACTCCACCTTCGCGAAAAAGTTGAACTTACACTTTTGTAGCCTCTGAGACAAGTCTGAGAGTTCACAAACATGTTTGGGTGACCCCGGATCGGAGCCCATACTGTACGATGGAAACTGCGAATATTAGCGCACGCAAGCGCACGTATTGGCAGAGATGGAAGAAAAACCGGCATGATTGTGTGACGACAGCATCAGACGTGAGCGGTCACATGCTTCTACTTACACGTCAGGTCGCAAGGAAACCCGGGTAAAACACAGACAAACGCGACATACACTTTTCCAACTCCCCCCCGCTCGAGCCACAGAACCGCCAGAAGACTGCCCGCCATAAAATAGCAGCACATGCGGACAATACACACAAATTTACTTGGGGTCATGCACATGTGTGCTAGCCCCCTTTCCTCATGAACGGCGCCATCCAAATAGGCCGATGTCGGTGTCGTAACCTCGCGTCTAGCTGGCTCCCGAACGCTTGGAGCATTTCGGGGCATCGCGCCAAAGCTTCCGAAAACTCTTCCGCCGTGACGCCATTCTCTTCTGGCCCGGGCGAACCCATCCCGCTGGCCCCTCCTCGACCGTGTCCGTCTCCCTTTTGCAGCCGAGCACCAGGTCGTTCCTTCGCGGGCTCTGCTGTTGTCGGCCGACCGCCGGTGGGCAAGACATGTGGCGTCTCGGTCGAAGAGTATGCATCAAGCTGCAGCGAAGAGGCTTTTCCATCCTTCGACGAGCGATTTCTGGGGCGGTGCGGTGGCGATAGACATCGGTCGGACTCTACCATATTGGGCGAGTTGTAGCCGCCGTCGCCACTGTTGTTCTGGTTGTTCCTGAAACGGAGGGGGTTCCTCCCTTCCTGCATGACCGCTCTCAGCTCCAGGTAGAAGCGGTGGCGGTACGTCGTCGTCACGGCGTGCCGCTCCTGGTCGTTGCTGCACACCAGGGTGAACATGCGGGCCGTCTCGGCGAAGCAAACGCGGTTCCTTTCTAAGCTGGAATTTCCGCGGCCGTCGTCCCCGCCATCGCCGCCGCCGCCGCCGCCGATACCGTCCGCGCTGGACAGTGCGAAAGCACTGTGAGATTCAGGACCGGCAAGACCCTTGGGAAGGAGCACCGGCAGTGGCAGCAGGGTGGCGAGAGGTAGGGTTTAGGTTTATTACACTGCACCAGAAACCACTAAAGCAGGCGTCGCGCTACCTCGCGTTTACGTTTGACTGGAGCTTGCGGAATAGGTCCTGGTCGTAATGGCATGCCCCGGACGGTTCTACCCCTCTGGGAAAAGCTATTGGCGATGACCTACCTTTAAAAACCGCTAAGCTTCGGAGATAGTTTTGGGTGCAACCTTGGGGTTTTAAGTGATTTGAGAAGGGCTCTTCGCACCTGCTGCATGGAAGGCGCGATCCCCCTCTCTTGCTCCCGCTTACGCCTGCGCTTCCACCTCTCTCGCTCCTCCTCCAGTTGCGCCTGCCTCTCTTTCTCGAGCCTCTCCTGCTCCAAGCGATGCCTGTGGCGCATCCTGTCCCCCCGGGCACGCGCAAACACATCAAACACTCCAAGCACCGCTGCCTTTACCGGCTCCTTCGGTTTCGCGAGTAGCCTCAAGCACGCCACGGCCATAGTCCAGTCTGCTCCCTGGGCACCGTCTTTCTCCTTGCCGCCACGACTACCGCTTTTACCAGCTCTACCGAAATTACCTGGGGATGTTCGCGGCCTACTGTTATTGGTTCCGACGCCTCCGCGTTGCTGTGATTGGGGGAATTTGTCGCGGTTTTCCTCGGAAAAGGTGGTGGCCGTGGCGGGACCGGGTGCCATCGGTCTCCGGAAGAACCCGAAGAGGGTGTTCAGCTCGCTCTCGGGAAATCCCTCGTGCTTCCCCGTGATGTTGTCGACGAACTGCCGATGGTAGGCGGGACGGAGGTTGAGCGTTCCCGACGGAACGGGACCAGGACGGGAAAGGGCACGCAGGCGAAACGGCAGGGGTCGACAAGAAGACTTGGAAGGGGATGGGTCTCTCTCTCTTTCTCTCTCTCTCTCTCTCTCTCTCTACCACATTGGATGTTAGCTGACTACCGTGTGCTTGGAGGGTTATTGACGGTCCATACTCTCGGTAATCCTCTAGGCATGGAAACATACAGCGTTTGTCTGTTCCCGGAGAGGGCTTTCGCTAGCCCTCGCGCCCCTAGACGCGGAACCCGTCGCAGTAGGCACCGGTGACGCAATCCCCAACAAGCTGTGGGACAGCACCGACTCCCTCTCCGGGCGTGGGCGCTTCATCGATAACTGGACGGGATATCGCTGACACCGCACGGGCAACGACAAAGATATGCCCTTCGTCACCGCCTTCCGTACCTGAGCCTTGGTGGCCAACTTGGAGGTGCCGACGGCCGTTCCAAATGTAGCTGCTACTTCTTTCACAGCCTGGAGCGGCAGTCCGTGCTGCGACCCTGTGATCACCTGGCATCAGTAACGTGTAACAGAGACGGCACAGCCGTTGCAGTAGCCGAGGCAAGGAGCTTCCCGTCAGCTCGCCATACAATCCAACGAAGACCCATACAGCGAGGTCAGAAGGAACTAAATGTGCTAAGTGGGGCAGCTTTCTTGCCAGACGAGTGATCTATAAGCGCGACCATGTGGACAGAGGGAGGTACTGGACAGAGAGATCAGAACAGTTTTTGGTTAATCTGAAGACAACAACAACAACATTAGTTGGATATGGGTCAACTGATACGAGCGAGTGCATACTGCTGAGCTAACATCACAGATGGAGCTGAAACACCTGCCGCAACGTGAAATATATCAGGCGAAAAGGCCTGCACACCAGCCGGTTCCACTTTCGGGCTATAAGAGGACACGAACTCAGGTCTCACACTGCGGCAAGAGCCAAGAAGCCTTACGGCATTATATTTCGTCTGCGGTTGAGCGGATTTGTGTTGCCTACAGGGGGGGGGGGGTTGAGCTTCGCGCGGCTGTTTACTGACGCACCATCCCTCCTGAGAGAGTCGAACGCAATCAAACCTTCACTTGCGACAAAATCGCACCCGTGCAGCAGGAGGCTCACATGAGGTTGTAGCTGGCTATCGCGACACACACATGGTCAAGACATTCATAGAGCAGACGAGACACAACGACTACACCACACAAAGATATTACGAACCTTAAGGACCTGCTTGAGCAGGTCCCACTTCAGGCCGTCGTGGTCCGTCTGTCGAACAAGCTTTCCGGACAGCGCAGCAGTCAAACCGTGCCTCAGAGGATCTTTGGACGCCTGCGAAACACAGTCGGCAGCCGCAGCCGCAGCAGCAGCAGTCATACGTTGTTGGGGGCAAGGTGTAGGGAACATTAATGGTAGAATTGTATGTTCCGTGCTGGAAGGGTGTTGCGTAACATACCTGGATTACCATGTGTATTTGCTAAAGTTACTATTTACTTTCCCGCAGTGCCCCACCGCAGTAATTCGATTCAGGTTGTTCCTTTCCTTGAATGGCAGTTGCAGTGGCGTTCAGTTCTATACGACGACAGAGTCTGCATACGAAGGGTAGAAAACATACTGCTCTAACAAACCAGGCTACTCACCACCTCGCTGAGAGTCAGGCGGGGCACGTATCCATGGCTTTGTTGCTATGAGTCTACCTCGGCTAGAAATCTCGAACATCGGTGCAAACGCCAGGCACGATCTATCATTCGATGGACAGTAATGGCGCGTTCAAGGAGGAAGTCAAAGTTTCAAGCCACAGCCATCACGGATGCAGGATGTTTGGAGCTTCCACCGCGTACGGAGGTCTTTCGAAGCAATTGGACGGGGCAGGAGAAATTTCGTTTGGGGGCACAAAAGAGGGTTAGACAGAACCATGCGGCGAAGCTGAACGACTCGTACGCATGGCGAAAGGCCACCAATGTGAAGTCATGACCTCCACCAAGCGACATCTACCCCCAACCCTGTTATTACGAAACTGTATATTGTGAGCCCAGAAGGTGCAAGCGGGGCGGGTACAACAACGACACCTTCGCTATAATAATTCAGTGAGACAAGGCCAGCGATGCTCTCCACACCACAGGGGTAACGGTCTTCCTGCACACCGAACCAAAGCGACATCCCTTGTTGTGCTCAAGCACGCTTATGTCGCATTGGTCTAACCCATCGTCTCACGCCCCCATGACCTACCCTCGTTTGGTTTGGATTTTCTTCCATGCTCGCTCGTGCCGCGTTGTCGCACCTCGTTGAAAGTCTGCCCGTTATATCGTCAACGCACCCAACAAAAATATGCTACATTTTGTGCTGCAGCGGCATACTCCCGCTCCCGGTGCATGTTTTCTCACCGTAAAGTACGTGCCTACTCTGAGGAACCCCATCTCCTGGTCCATCCTTTTGGTGGTGCGCACGTGAACTACGGCAGGACTAGTTCTTCCACCCATCGAACCCCTCCCGCCCCCTTCATCCCAGGCAGCGGTAGCTGACGAACGGGGCCTCAATGCGGAGCCCCTGAGCGACCGTGACCGTTGCGGCGAAGCCGCTCCGGCATTCGTGGTGTCGAGGAGAGCGTCCCGCCCTAGAATGGACATGGTAACCCTGGTTTCCGAGACAAGAACGGTAGGAGAGGGGGGTCACTTTGTCAGGGAAGTAGGTGGGGGGTTGGGGGTGGGGGAGATGGTATACAGCAAGAGGACCGGAAACGTCAATTTCGGGTCGAAGATTAGTTGGTTATGTTGTCACCAACGTTGAGTACAGGATACTATATACTTATAGCAGTTTTAGTGCAGGTTCTTTGGCTGAGCTATGTTTCTCATATGTATTTTTTTCGTGAACATTTTGGCTGTTTTTCTCACCGGTATCTTGTTAAACTGCGGGCCTACATGTACATGGATATACATTTTCTACATCGGTGACCAAGGTTTATCCCGAGAGCACAACACCGAAGACTGCGGACACAAGGTTATTGGGTTTCGAAAACTGTGGACAACACGAGACTGCAGAACGTGAGCAAGTAGAGCATGAAACGACCGAAACACAACATACTAATAAATGTCATTGGGGTGGACCAAACGAAGGTATACATAACGTACAACAACCAAGTCTGGCATGTGCATCAAGTACGGTAGTCGTTTGGAGAGCACCTTGTATAAGAGACTACGGAACATACCGCCCGCCAAAAACCAAATACTCACCAACAATAGAGAGACAACAACGGTTGAAGCACTGTACTGCGGGGACGCAAACCCGTTTTTTACGGTTCTTACCCATGGCTGGCCGCGGCGCGCCTCATCCCAGGCCCGGCGGTGGACGCCCGAACGTCGTTAGCCGTCGTTTCGCCGTCGTACCATGGAGACTGTGCCATTCGTTTGGGGCGCGAGCCATGAGGGTACATCGCCGATACTGGCCAAGCCTAGAGGTGCAATCAGGAAGCGAGAAGGGGGGGGGGGGGGGGGTCACTCGCGGCTTGCAATTTGTGCAACATAGGCGATTCGACGGCGTGCCCCCTTCCTTGATTGCGGTCTCCTTTGCGATGATTGATGCTTTCATGGCGCAGACGCAAGCATACCACTTGACGACAGGTCGAAGTTTGCCTACCGTATCCCCTCAGAAATAATCTTGGACATGTTCTGAGAACAGAGCGCATCCAAAGGTTGACGCCACGACCGATCCCAAGAGGTGCATGCCTACCTTCGGCGTGGTTGTCGTCGCCAGCGACGGCGCGGTCGAGCACCTCAGCATCGGACTCCACTCGTCTACTTGGAAGTCGTCCGCTGTGTCGTCCTCTTCTCGACCCTCCCCTCCCCTCGAAGCAGACGCGTCTCGACGGATCATGCAGAGCGTGCCTTTCGCTCCGTAACGACTAGCGGCCGCGAGGGGACCACTGCCGCTTAAGCCTGGCTGGTTTCGGTATCTATAAATCGGCGTCATTTTGGAAACAATAAGGTGCGGTCGGGGAGGCAATGTTTGCCCGCGTGTTGTGATTTTCAGTCCCGGAAGAATGTGGGGCTGGGAGGGATTATCACCGCAGTCCCAACGTGTAGGGTTTTATGTAGGCTGTTTGGGAGTCAGAAGGTACGCTTGTACATTGTGAACTAGAAGGCAGGACTTGGTTGACGCCAACAACAGCAACACACCACACAACCAATCAAGAAATGAAGTTCTGTGGTTGCATTGGAGGGCAGTACTAGTACATGCCGTACTAGTACATGCCACGAGAAAGGTTTGCTGCTTCAGTCTGATCTCGGCATCGGCAGCTCGTCGACGGTGTCAGCCACGCGGAGGTCGGCGTCAGAGAGCCGTGCCTTGAATTACGTACAGTATTCACAGCCATCCAACCCTTAGAGGTCCATGCCCCCACACCGAGGTTCCCCGATTCGGAGGTTAGGTGCGACTTACCCATAGTGCCAAGCCCGTCGTTGTCCGAACTGCACGGTTTCTGCGATCGATCCGTAGAGGGCTTTCTCTTGCTCCCGCCGCACAATTTCCTTTTCTCTGCAGACTCGAGATTTGGCCGGCTGTGAAGAACTCTTTCTGAGTCGTCGGCGACGTAGTAGGGAGTCATCGTTTCCGGCCTAGAATTCGGTGACAGAAAGGAAAAGGAATGTCGAACGACGCGTGGAGGTGGGGTAATTGCTGCCTTGTGCTACTTGTCGATACCTCCGGCCACTCGACAGCTGCAACAGCAGTTCGGGGGGATTGCTTGAAAACTCGTGTTGGAACTAAGCTAGTGGGAAACCCGTTCCCTTTCGGCCAGAACGCGACCAGAAAATACTCACCCCGCTAGCTGTAAGGCATCCGAGCTGCCTAGAGATGGTGCAACAGCAGTGGCCATATGCTACTGCCAGGAAGGACACTGCTGCTACCGCTGGGCGGTTAGTTTCCGTGCCTGTTGAAAACTCTTCCGTCGGGGGATATCCTTGAACAACACATCACGATAATGTGCGTTCCGAGTAGCTAAGAGGTGGCGCAGTATTGATCATTGTGGTGCCCTCTCTGGCTGCCCCCTCGAAATGCTTTGTTGCACCTTGGGCGGTGGCCACAAACGTCGATTTAACGGAGGTGTACTGCCAGACAGCTTTTTTTTCATTTTCTCCTACGAATGTGACTGGTGAACAGTAACACATGCTTTCGGACTCTTCACACTTGCGAAGACTTCGAATTCTTACCGTTAAAACGAACTCTCGTGTGAAACGATAAAAACAAGGAGGTTTCCACGAGATATCGAACCACCTACCTGTAAGACGTATTCATTTAAGCAGCATCCTGCCCCCTGCCTGGGTTACGGGACTTATGTGCAATAGCAAATCGCCCTCGTTTTACCCCTCCCAAGACTACATAATACCATGAATGGTGGTGGTCGAGTAGATTATGTTGTGCGGGGTCGAGGACCCTCACTCCGCGCAAAGGGGATAATCGCACCACATTGTGTTAAAATGGTCAAGCACCCTCGAGGCAGTTACACAGTGTTAACAACTGTCTCTGGAAGTGAAAGCACCAGAAAGTAAATTAGGTCATACGCAGCTGTCATCCGTACGCAAGGAAGTAATCACAAGATGCCGAACACCTTTAGCAGGATGCAGCGCACCCTTCATGCGACTCGCCGAATACCTCATGGCGCTTCGCGCTTGGTGATGTGAGAGCCTGGTCCGGTGAGAACCCGGCGTGCTCCGTCCCGGCTTTGTAGGGATACGAGGTCAATGGTCTAACGACTACGGCATGCACGACTATGAGTACACCCCCCCCCCCCCCCCTCCCCCCCGTCCGCTGGACTGGTGGGGTGTGAGACATTCAAGATGTTCATCTAGCGACCCCTCCTGTTAGTATGATGCTGGTGGAAGAATCTGCATATTCTGTGTGTGTACTTTGTTTCTTTGTTTCGTCCTTGGTGGATTGAGAGATTGAGAGGGCTATAGCAAGGTCCACAAGCAAGTTCCGGGGTGCCTCCTGCCTGTGTGACCCGGCTGATTTAGCAGATATAATGAAATGACTCTGGCTTCTGAGACGGTGACTGCCGGATCTTTAGGAGTGCACGATTATCAATTTGGGACATGCAGCATACATAAAACAATATCCTGGCTTCGGCTGGGTTTGAAATGACGCCTTCGCTGTCCTCCGCTGTTTACATCAAAATGGCTTGCTCTCTAGGTCGGGCGCGGGCATTTGGAAAGCTTTAGTTTTTATTTTTCAGAAATGAAGTTGTAGAGAGCTTCGTTTTGGCGTTGTGCATTTTTCGAATTTTGGTCCCCTTCCAGGGAACTTGACTTGTCCGCTACAACTGACGTCTATAAATTCGCCAGGTGGTTAACACGGACGTTGCTATTGAATTAAAACTACTCTATGGTGTGGAATGTAGTGTGTGTGGTATGGAATCTACCCAGCTCTCAAAGTATGACTGTTCAACCATCCTCATCGACAAATCGTACAGCGGGATCTCATCTACTGCGGTGCGGTTTTCGTGATGTTGGTCTGAGCTGTAGTTATTTGCGCAGGTTAAGCTAACGTGATGAATTAAGGCAACATGTGACGTCGTGCAATACGACGTCCACCGCCCATGGGCCAGTTCCGGAAGCTGAGGCTGGAAGAGGGAACAACTGGGTCTAACGTCCAATACTTTCTCGGTTCCCTTTACGGGGCCAGTTCCGGAAGCTGAGGCTCGAAGAGGGAACAACTGGGTCTAACGTCCAATACTTTCTCGGTTCCCTTTACGGGGTGTGGCATACCTTTCGAAGCACTCACTTCAGTGGGCATGCGCTATCTTTGACGCAACCGAGGGTGTCCAGTCGCGGAACGAAGAACGGTACCGTGCGGTGCTCTGTATGGTGTGCGCTTTCGTGCAAATGGTGACACTTTGGAGCAATTACGGTACTCCAGGTTGCACACCCCACCGAGGCCATTTTCAGTGCAGGTCAACCACGCACTTGCCTGATAGAGGTTGGCCAACTGTCGACGTCGAGCCGCCCTTGGTCCATCCATGGTCGCACTCATTGATCGTGTGTGGTGTGGGTGCTGGTATTGTTGTGTCTCTCCTCTCTCCAACCTCCCCAACCTAGAACGCGGCGTGATTACATAGGGTTCTGAAATCTGAAACGACACTTGTACGCGGTGGAACCGATGTTGTTCCTCTTCGGGATTCTGCGGACTGCGGGGGGGGTACATTTCGAGCAAGATACAAGTCTTTCTGTGTGTGTTTTTGTTGTTCCTTAATTAAGATACAGTAGTACTACAGCAATCGGTGTACGATTGCGACCGCGAGAGCTCGGCGGTCAATACACAGCAGTTTACTTGAAGAGATGGGAAGACTTTTGCCGAGGATCTCGAGCTGGGCTGCACTCACCCTATGCGCTGATGGCATCGTTCGATCAGCCGGAGATCAGTGCAGCACCATCTGTGATTTGATCAAGGCCGAGGTGTCATCGTCGGAAGCTTGTGCAAAATCTAGGAGAAGCCTGCCTCGCCCCAAGATCGGCCGGGTTTGCCAGGTGCAAAGGAGGAGAGGAAACTGCCTCATTAGTACAGCTATTTAGCGCAAGTGGCGAATGTTGAGAATAAACAGAGGAAAAGTTGTACACTGCTGTGTCGGTATCTCTCGCCAAATGGTCGCCACTCCCAGAACCCCTGGATCTAGGCTTACGCGTCACTACATACTAAATATGGGTAACGATACCGAATGATACAGAGCAAGACCGCGGTCGAAGAAAATGGTGTTAAGAAAAAGGGAAAAATATCATAGGAAATTAAGGACACAGCTCAACCAAGGATACTACTGGTCTCCGCTCTGTATAAGTAACCTGTAGACTACTCAACGGCCAATGAGAACTTCAGCCTGGTGTAGACCCGAAATCCACGTTTCTTGTCTCCGAGTCCCTACTGTATACCATAGTGACAGATGTTTCTATGCCGTCATCTCCATGTCGCCCTCTACAACACCAGTGGCTTCCCTTACGATGGAGATGTCGAGATTGCTATGTAGAAGTCGCCCCAAGGTGGATCGCATCGTTTGCAACGCATTGTGTAAAGTATTGTTTCTCTGATGTAGTTTTCTCACCTCAAGCGACAGTCAGGGGCAATCGAACACGAGTTTCTGGCAGGCGACGCAGTGGTTCAGCTGGTAACCTCGAAACCGTTTGACTCTCCAAATTGAGGGGTCGACTTTCTCAAGAAAAAAAATAACACTAGATAGGTACAGGGTGGAAAACGAATAGTCGTGAGTAAACACAAGTGAGGGAAAGGAAGAAGATGGTGTTGACCCTCCTGCTATGTAACCCCGGCTGACACGCTAAATGCATGTACACCTATCGTGTAGACTGGAATCCATAATAGATGAGCCCAAAACAACAGCAACAACAAGCCTGGTAACTTTCCGAACCTGACTTGAACTTTGGCTAAACGCAACAGGAGTGCCAACTATGTGTTTTTTCGCGCTCCACTGACATATTTTGCCCTCCCTATGCTTGCGCTCAACACATGGGGTGCTCGGTGGTACCTTAGCCCGACTTTTCAAATAACTAGCCGAACGGGAGCACGGGCACAAGGGACAACAACTTTGAGTCTATGACCCTGACACAAATCAGAGGAACACGGAAGGATGCCTGAAAGGGTTCACGTGCGTCTGTTGCGCCTGTTGTACCCTCTTTCATTCATTTTCGTGTCTGCTATTACAGGAAGGCTTTGATGAGGCCTTCAACCTCACCTGCAGCGAGCTTTGTTCCTTTCATGGGACGAGTCGACTTGTTCCAAGTCACCTTGGCGGCGCATGCGATAAACGGTGAGCGGGGTACTTTTTATTGTATATTTGGAGACATTGCAAGACATCAATTTACCATCTGGGTTGCAAGGGTTCGTTGGCATCGAATTATGCGCAATTAATGCGAGACTTTGCTTTGTTAAGGTTGGACCACCCAACCTTACCGCAGTGAGCCATCGGCTTGTGCGTGCACTGCCTGAGTGTACGCATCGGTACACGAAAGTTGGGGGCACTTGATGTCTTTCTCTTGTTGAGGATGCGTATGCACTCTGCTGAAGCGATGTCCTGCGAATGCTTACCAAGGGTACGCAGCGCAATGCACAATAGCCAAGCATTCCTACCGTAGTACCCTCGTTTGAAGGTCCCTCGAACATGCAACACCACGCCTTCCGCAGGAAACGGGAGGTGCCAAGGCCTGCCGTTCACAAGGCATGCGTGGATGGCTTCAATGCAGGCCTAGCAGCGACGACTACATTGGTCACCAAGCGCATAGAATCCGTGAGTGGAATGGCGACGATTTGGCACGAACTCATACTTTGCGCGAGAAAAGGCCATGTGCTTATACGTCGAAAATGACGCTACTAAACCGTAAATGGGGGACGTTCTTTCCAGGCGATCTTGGGGCGAAAAAACATCCTGCTTTGTTCACTGGAGTTTCTCAGAGACCCTACGAAAGGGCGAGTTCTCTTTTGTAGCGCTGAAACGTCCCCGGTCTTGTTCGTATTTTTCACCCCGTCTTTATCTCTACCGTATGCTATCTTTGTCCGTCCACCCCGCCTTAGATGGACGACGACGCGAGGAATAGCTTCATGGACAACAACGCCAACCTGCTTAAGGAGGCTGACGCCGAGCGTGACACTTCAGAAGAAGTTGCGAAAGCAAGGGACGCCCAACAAGTACAGCAGGTACGGCGCAATACGTCCGAGATGCTTGCCACCATTTTCGTCGAAAAAAGGCTATAGTTGTCGAAACGATACTAGGAGTCGGTGGTTTCCCCGTGAAGCGGCTTCGATGGTTTGATTTGGTTGTTACAAAGGTTTCGGCTGTCGTGCTTGCAGAGCATTTGTTGGGTTTTCCCCTCATTTCGACTTCACTGGGGCCGATAGTGCCACACACCATCCGCGTTGCCGTCCATATCCAGCCTTTTCGATCGGCGGGAAACGCGACACGAATGCAGTTCCATCGCTTTCGCTTTTTCGACATGCTTCATGCTGCCCCCCTGATTCCCCGCATCCTGATTAAAACAGAGAGAGGAAGCGCAGGAGAGAGCGCGAAAAGCTTTCGAAGAGAAATCGGCAGAAGTCAAGCGCGAGAAGGAGGCCTTATCGAAGAAGCAGGAGCTTGAAACGGCCAGGGCAGCGGAGGAAGCCGAACAAAGCCGAAAACAAGCGGAACAGGAAAGACAGGCACGCATGAGTGTTTTGTGTGTTGCTGGGTATAGAGAGACTTATAACAGGGGGGCTTGAGAACTCTGCGAGAGTCTGCGAAGGTCCCGGGATTTCCCGGAAACCAGGTCCGCGTCAACGTAGATGAATGCGTTTATACAAATGGAACCAAGTGTGTGAAAGTATTGGCGAACTCTTGGTGTGCTGAATCTCCTCCCGGGGGCGTCGAACCCCATTTTTAATATCACAAGACATAACCTTCTGTTTGTTTGCCTCAATGCTGTGCCGCAATTTGCTCCTGCACCTGATTTAATAGGAGCGAATCAAAGCTGAAGACCCAAAGGAAACGAAGGAAGACACAGGCGTCGATAGCAGCGCTGCAACTACCGCCGGCAGTGGAACTGCTGCAGCGCACCCAAGGCCGCAGAGGATAGTTGCCGGGGAGACGAGAACGGATGCCCCAATCTCTGGTGTGCAAGATTCCTCTGGTGCAGGAGCCGGCGGAGCGCACTACCCGGAGCTACCCTGGGCGGTGCAAGCCATGGAGGTCGAAGCGGAGAAAGCATGGGTGCCTGCCGAGGAAAGGGGAGTAGAAAGCAGGGAAGGCGCGGAAGCGACTCCTACCGGTGAAATGCCCGAGGAGGCTCTTGCACCTGGACAACGCACTCAGGGGTTGCAGTCTGCGCTCGAAGACTACAACACACACGAGGTCAATGCTTTGCCAGCGGTGGTGGTGGAAAAGGAAGCCTACGCCGGTTTAAAAGATGAGCGCACCATCGAAGTCCGGAATGACCCAACGTATCGAGACATGGCGGAGAGCGTGAAGGGCTTGGAGGTTCCACTGACAAAGGAGCGTGCATCAAGCGAAGCGGTCGACGGCCAAGCCGGCTTGGAACTAGACCTTGAGCGAGATGCCACCTCGGAGGATGACGCCGCCATAGCACCGTCAAACGACCGCCGGCAACAAAATATACGAATGACGGAGCGCGTAAAGGGATTAGAGTTTCCACTGGCACAGGAAGGTGCCCCAAGCGAAGCGCTCGACGGCCAAGCCGGTTCGGAAGCAGACCTTGAGCGAGATGCCACCTCGGAGGATAGCGCCGGCATCGAACTCCCAAACAACGGCCGGCACCAAAAAGAAGCGTCAGCAACAGGAGCAGTTCTAGCGAAACAGGGTGCTCTTGATGACGGCTTGAAATATACTGGTGGTGCTTTCCAGAAATCTCGTGAGTACCCTGAGGCACTCAGTGCTGAGAACGTCGAGGACTCTGAATTATCATTGGTGGAACAGAATGACCCGCCGCGCGAGAGGCTTGGTAAAGGAGAAGCAGCGACAGAGACGGGTTTAGACGCCGGGTCAGAAAACAGCGCCATCACAAACCTTGCGAACGACCGCGTTTCTCTACAAGCCTTCATCGAGGAGCACGTTCAGGGCTCTGAAACACCGTTGGAACGGCAAAGTGGACCGGCAAACAATTTTGATGATCCAGACGATGAATCGGCAATGGCGGAGAATGGGACAAAATCTGGTTCAGAGGATACCCTTGAACCCATCTATCACGAGGGGCTCATTGCCTAACATGTTGATGGGTTTGAGAGCGATAATGTAGTTGTTCAGGATGTTGGCCTTCTGCGCGATACCGTCGCCTACCCAGCCGCTGAAGCACCAGTAGAAACCCGAAAGAGTCTGCATGTTGATGGCGGACTTACCGATGATTTGCCCAATGCTTCTCCGTATCACCGAGTGCCTTCATTGGAGTATGCTGAGGGACCTTCTGCGTAGAGAGGGCAGCCGGGATAACTTTGATGAAAAGGGGGGGTTGTTTTCAACATTTACCATCTGACCTGACGGATTCAGGAAAATAGGAGTAGCACGAATTGAATACCGACAGCATATTCATCAGTTAAGCGGTCACACAGCTCATCAGGAGCACGGAATGCCTCGTCGGTTTGTTTGACATTTTTCTTGGACTTTTTTCAAGAACGTACTGATAGACCAAGACTTGGCAATCCTTTTCGTGTCCATATCTTTCTTTCTTGCGAGCTGGCGCACACGTGCGATAGCAGCAGTTTTGGCTTGGGTGGATCATTGTATGTTCTCGAAGTGCACTCCAACCACCAATGTCAGATACTTCTTGTCTCGTGAACGTACAGTGGGCACGATGCCAAAGTGATCGTTTCTGAAAGTCATCCCTAGGGGTACGCTCGTTGCCTGGAATCCATGCTGACACACAACACTTCACGAAACACAAATAATGCGAACGACACCAGGGGGCACTGAAGAGAAGGCGTCATCATGTACTGGTGGTACATCCAGATGCGGCGAAGTTGTTGTACTGCTGTGCCGTGGTTGGGTGGTCTGGGCGTGTCAGAGAAGCTACTGCACGACTAAAAAATGTATTGCAGCTCGAGCGAGAAATACCAGAATTCATTCGGGCAGCATGAAGCTGTCGCTGAGAAAGTACAGCAGTCTAGACGTGTAGACTAGACCTGGATGCGGTAGGCTCGTGGGTCTGCTTGAATCGAACGCACATGTAGGATCAGGTGGATTTGGAAGGTACCACCATCGCAGCTGCTGTAGCCTAGTGATATTTCCATACGCTCAACGTCACCCTTGTGGATCGAGAAGGTTGAGAGTTGCTTGATGGTACTGCACGTTCTTTGCGGCCCTGCACTACTCCTTGAGGTGGCCCATTCTGCAGTGCCACAGGTAGTTTCGATGACATGGTACATAAATGTGGCGGCCCATGGATCACCATAAACTACTGACCCCAGCGTCGCTTCCAATAATAATCAGATGGCGGACCAACGTCGTTACGATTGGGCGGCTCTTGGAACTCCGCCGGGTGGTGGTTGACTGGCGGCCAATCGTAGCCATTGGGCGGTTGATTACCCATGACGGCCCAAGAGCGGCCCAAGAGCGGCCCATGAACGGCTATTCTAATTTCGACCCTTGACGGCCCATGGTGACTGACTGTGGTGACTCATTCCAGTTTGGCCGACGAGGGTCCTGATGGATTGATGGACCTTTGGTACTGACTGGATCGACAGCAACAACCCGTTTGAAGTGTCCGAGCGGGAAAATAGCACGGACGGGCAGGTGACATGCAGTTGGGATCACATATACAATCCTCATTTAATAAGATGCTTAGGTAGAGAGACTGAGAGACATGAGACCAGTTAGACCACAAGACCGGAAAGACCGGGCCGCCGGGTCGAAAAGGGTCAAAGGGACAAAGAGACCGGACCACCGGAAAGAAGAACCAGTTCTAGAACTACCTAAAGACCCAATGTGGTGCTGGTTCTTTAAGTTCTTAGTGTCCGGTTCTGTTGTTATTTCACCGCCCGCCTCATCTGGCACGCCCTGGGTTCATCTTCGGCCTTTTGAAGACCCCCGGTGGTGTATCCCGTGTTCACAGTCGTGCTGGCCACTGGATCTGTGTGTTTCGTCATGTGAGAGCTATGTATGAGCCTACACATTCGCCGGGAGAACGACCGGTGGAGAGTAAGTAGTAGACGAGGATGTAGTCTACGTTGACAAGTGTAGTCTACATATAGTCTACAGCAGCAGGTCCAACATGTACATGCAGGGGTGAGGCGCCGAGCGGGGTATGGAGCAGCTGGCGGCGGTGGTGGCGGAGGATATCCCACGAGCCAAACACGTGTGCCGACTGTTTTGGGCTCTCTATGGCTGCAAAAAGAAGGGCCCTGCGCCCTGCGGTAGGCATTCAAGGCAAGTCGGAAAAATGTTCTTTTTTTCGTGTGTTTCGTTCTTTTTGTGCGAAGATGCTGCTGCTGCTAGACTATATTGTCGAAACATCAACGCCGGCGATTCACAACGATTTGTTGTTCACCCAAAGTCGGTATAGGTTGTACGACACTGGAACCTATAGGAAACATGGCGACGGAAGCCTTGAACGCTCTCGAGATGGAAGCCCCTGCACGCTAACCGGCGGCAACAAAAATAACTTCTTTTAGAAGCGTAGCCCTCGGCAACCGTCGTTTGTATTTTTCATGCACCGGGAGCATCGGCATATATATGCATACGGTAGGTGCAGCTGCCATTGTTCGACCGGCATATCATTGCTACGACATGAGGCATCGGTGCTTTGATTTTGCCGTAAAGACGAAGAAGGCGGCACTTTCCGAGAGGTATACTGCTGTCGGTGGCTGCCGTAGGCCGACACAACCAAGGGTAGGTAGGGTAGGAAGAACAGTTTTCTCCCCGATTTTGTCGTTGACCCGCTCTACATGTGCTTCGTCGACTTGAAGAAGAAGGCGTATGATTCGGTGGACCGAGAGATGCTATGGAAGGTGCTGGCCAGGGCCGGGATTCCCGCGAAGCTAATCAAAGTCATCCGCCAATTCCACGATGGAATGCGGGCCCGGGTGCGCATGGACGACGGAGAACTATCGGACTGGTTCTTCGTCACACAGGGTGTGCGACAAGGATGTGTGCTATCCCCACTGCTGTTCAACATCTTCTTCGCCGAGGTCCTCGAGGTCGTCGTTATCCGATTCAGCGAGGATGATGTTGTTCTGCGGAATCTGGTGTGCTTGGAGGAGGGGAAGACGGAAGCGGGGGGGGGGGAGGAGACACCCCTTGACCGAGTACGGAGGGCAGTATGGGGGATGCTGTATGCCGATGATGCCGGCGTCGTATCGAGGTCTGCAGAAGGACTGGCGAGAATGATGACCATCATCGTTGAGGTGTTCGGAGAGTTCGGGCTAACGGTGTCGGAGAAGAAGACGGAGACGCTCTTGATGCGCGCGAAGGACAAGCCGACTGCAACATCACAGTCCCCCCCGCCTCCTCCTCCACCACTGACTATCGAAGCCGCGGGACAGAAATACGCCCAGACGACCGAGTTCCGATACCTCGGTGGCGTCGTCAACGAACATGGTGACCTCACCCGGGAGATCAGCTACAGGAGCAGAGGAGCGTGGGCGTGCCTCAGGCGATATGGCCAGGAGCTCTTCGACAGACCGAAAGCGCTATTCCGACTCAAGATCCGCCTCCTCCAGGCGGAGGCGATGGAGGCACTGCTGTACGGCTGCATGACATGGTCACCACTCAGCGGCCACTATCAGACGCTGCGGTCGACACACCACCGACTGCTCCTTCGAGTTATCGGGTACAAGCGCAAGAAAGACACCTACCGGCAGCTCTCGTACGCCCAGACGCTGAAGAGGGTCGAATGCCAGAGCGTTGAAGCCACGATCCGACAACGACGCCTAATGTTCGCGGGAGCACTGGCAAGGCAGCCGGACGGGCGACTCCCGAAACGACTGATGCTCGGCGAGCTGGCGGGGGGGGAGAAGCCACGTAGGGGGGGACAAGAACAGAACTGGCCGAAGTGTGTGCTCGACGACCTGAAGGCCTTCGGGGCCGACCACGGATCTACGAAAACCGACCCAAGTTGTCTCGGAATTCCCGTACCGAAAGACACGGCACCGAAGTCAAGGTGGACGGAAGCCGCGAAGGTGGAGGGGGGAGTACCCTGGCATGCGGCGGTGCTGCAGGGAGCTGAGAGGTTCATGACCTCCTGGCACGAGAAGGAAGAAGAGGCCAGCCGACAACGAGCGCTCAAACGAAACCACAAGCCAACAACCAATGCGGCGGGAGGGGGGCAGGAGACGGACGAGACGGCGAGGGAAGAAAGCAAACGAGAAGAGACGGACCGAGTGGCACGACACGTGCCGGATTGAATTTCTTTTCGCCAATTCCCCCCCCCCCAACGCTGCACCATTGCACCAACCCCCCAGTAGTAGTGATTTCGTACCATTACAATGTATCGCTGGTTGGTGGCCGTGTTTGCGTGTTTGCTTGTTCGTTAGTGGTCTCTCCACCGTGTGCCTTGTTCTGCCTCATACTTCCTGTTATTTTCGGCCTAGTCCCTCTTTGTCCTCGCCCTTTTTTTTCATTTTTTCATTTTATTTTCATTTATTTTCTCTTCTCCTTACGGTTTCCATTTTTATTTTTTCTCCTTTTTTTTCTCTTTGTCCTTTTTTTTTTTTTTTCTCTCTTTTTTTCTCTCTTTTTCTGTGCCAGATGGACTTGTCTCTGCTTGCGTTGTGAAGTACCAAGATTGAACCAAGGGAGTGTGCCTCTTTCTCTCCGGCCCATGGTAGATAGTGACTGCTAATCTCAGTTGATACCCAGCATAGCGTGAAGAGGGAGCGGAGGATCCCAGAATATCTGTCGTTGATTTCTATTGACTTGCGGACCCCTCGGGGCCAGTTTATTTGAGTGTACCTTTTTAGGGTAAGTTAACCTGTGACCACGGGAATCGACCGCGTCGAGTGTTGGATCAGTACGGACATACGAAGGTACTGGGTAAAGAGAGATCGGAACGGTTTTTAATGTGAAGACAACAACAACAAGTAGAGAATTACAGGGGATGTATTGTAAAATGTATGTTACCTATACAGATGGTTTTGTACTTAGCACCAGCTGGCATCACTGGTATAAATCATCAGTGTATAGACTTTAAAAGACTCGAAATAAGTCCAGTACCCAGCCGGTTTCCCTTCACTCACTGAAAAGACTCCACCACATCCCGTTCGACTGTGGGTATATCTCGAATGGGTAGTCTTTCTGTGTGTGTTTTTATTATTCCATAATACCTGTTCGTGTGTGCTGAGTCACGTTTCATTCCATTTCCACCACAAGTGCCGCACATGTAAACTACAGTAGTACTGCTGCTGCGGCTTCTCAGCCGATGTGAGTTTTCATGCGTAGTGCCAAGGGTAAATGAAGAAGGAGCGGGCACCCCTTGGCTTACTTGATTTGGCACGCTATCCACTTTGGGGCCGTAGTCTATTGTACGTCTGTTTTTGGAATTTTTTGCCAACTTCAGGAGATTCACGCTTTATAGCAGTGCTATGGTGACACCGGCACGAGCTACTGGAACAAGCAGGAACATTGACTAACGATCGAGTGAGGCGGAGTACAACCTACTCTACTTGTCAAGAACGTCCTCTACTCCTAGTACAAGACTGCACCTGTGCGCTGCTGTACATGGTCGGTCGACAACGGCACACGAGAAAGAAAGCCCGGTGGAAAGCGTTTCAGAAACATGCCACCCAGATCATGTGGTAGCCCAAAAATACAGACTGCGTGTGCCCCTTCCCGGAGCCTGCTTGACGGCACTTTCAGCTTTTCAGAAACCACCTGGATCCTGCTCTTCTGTGCCCAGCGCGTACAGGGAGAAGGAGAAAGACGAGGAGAGAGCGAGCGACGCCCGGCCACGCTGTGGCTGGGTGCCGTCGTACCGTCAGACGAAGGTAGGGGCATCGCCAGATCTCTCCGTCTAATAAGCAGCCGCTTGCGCGCCAGGTGTCGCTTTTTATTTACAAACAGCAAGGCGCACAAAAGATCATACCAGTGCTGGAGTGTAGGAGTTTGGTCCCAACCGGTAGGGCTCGAGACAGAGGTACGTGTAGAACCAAACGAGTGTGGATCCAACTCGTCAGGTTTCTTGCGCCGACGACAGCTGTTGCATTGGATGCAATAATATGCAATTCCAGCCTGGCTGTTCGTGTTGTTTCGGAGCCTTCGTTGGTTGATTGGTCTCTTGACGCGTGTTTCATGTTGCGGATCAGGAGGTACAGCAGATAGATATCTCTTTACAGCGGTTTGGCTGCATGCTTTGCATACTAGGTTGGAGCACACCATGTCGTCCGTCACCGCCTCTGTCTCCTCTACACTTGGTACATGCGCAGCTCAGCGTCTAGGGGCTCGAAAGAGAGACGAATCGCCGCAGGGCGTGCAAACAACAACCGGTAGAAATTGTAATTGTTTGACAACAACACCAGTCTTTCCACAAATGAACGGGCTGCTGTACAGTATTAGAGTAAGTACAAAGACTCCCCCAGCAGCAGGAGTGAGTAGCAGGCTTGTTTCATGCCAGCGCGCTGTCAAAACGTGAGCCGCTTGAAGTAAGGCTGGTTTCCGTCGAACGTGTGCATACCCTGCCTGTCTCTCCCTTCCCTCGATCGATGCGCACCTTGGCGTTTCGCAGCTCGAAGAGAGAAATCGTATACCTCCACTACATAGTATCATAGACTAATGTACTGCTGTGCACGCGGCACGCCCGCGGACGCGCGCGGCCGGTGCATAACTCATCCAAAAACAAATTGCACACAAACAACTGCTGTTTTTGCATTGATACCGGACGGTTGAGCTTGTTTCCCGCAGGGGGAGATACCTGGACTCTTATTTGGATAGAGATGCATAGACTAATCGTTGTGTTTTTTACGAACAATAGCTTGGACCAGAGTTCTGGGTACACCATATTTGACATGAGATATCACACCCCCTGGACCGATTTCAACGGTCGATTATTTCAAGGCAGAAAGAGTGGCATGCTGAAAATGAAAATGGCGACGTTGAACCGCATCGTTCTTATGTAGAGCTTTCCGAAAACGCATCGCTTTTTATTTATACGTCCTCTTCCTAGAGAAATCGAGGTTTGCAAATTGGTCCAAGGGGGATGATACCTTACGTCACCTACGCATACGGCGGCCGAGCGGCCGTTTTTTTCAAACTCGAGCCACGTGTCTGTCGATCCATCTCATTCATTTCTGGTACCCGCTAGGCACGAGAGACAAGAGAGGGGCAGTGTATCATATTACCGTTTATTTCCATGTTGGGGTTCTAGAAGTGTGTACCTTTTGGGGTCGTTCGCCTGTGACCACGGAAAGGCGTTCCGCGTTAGTTGGAAAGGAACGGATGTTAGCAGCAACTGAGCAGAGACCGCAACGGAGACAACAACAACAACATTTTATCTTGACGTTCACTGATTCTGATACTCCCCTGGCACCCTCCGTTGCGCAACCCTCTTTTTATTTTCTTTACAAAAACACGCTGTTGTCCGCTTTCTCCTTCTCTAGGGCGGCGTGTGTGCGGCCGCCTCAGCGCTGCCGCTGCCAAGATGGTGCGCTGGTCGAAGCTTTCGGGGGTTGATAAGAAGGTACGTCTTTTGAGCGGCATAGTCTAGCTTCGATTTGTACACGTATCAGATGGAGAAGTTGGAAGTATTGTGGAGAAAGCCAGCTCGGCCGAGACAGACCGAGATGGATAGTCTAAGCCTTACACTAAAGCTACAGCTCGTTGTGTTCCAAATACGTGTCTGTCTCTCCTGGTTGCGAGTGAGTCTGACTGACGTGGGAAACATGCCACAGTGGTTCCCTGCAAAACGGACGTTTAACATGAGCCAAGATGCTGCGCTCACGGCAACCAAAGGCAGGACCATGTACTCCATACCTGAACAACAACAGTACCCGATCGCAATCTTTCGCAAACTGCAGCTAACACATTCAAAGTAGTATGCAATTCTGTACTACAGCACAGCAGTATAAAGTACAGAGGCCCAGCATCCATCCATCGACATTTACATGAGATGCTACAAGGTCACAACTTTTATCCTTGACTACACCAGCCATTACCCAACCCGCCCTGATTCCAACCCTACTATGTGACCGAACCAATGGAGGACTGGGAGCCAAAAAATGGTCTCGCACGGCTTCCGCTTCCTTCGCGCGTTAGGGTAGCGTGTGGGTCAAACCGCAACACGGATTGCAAACTCAGTGTTTCACGCCTCCGCAGCACGGATTGCAAACTCAGCGTTTCACGCCTTTAAACGGTTGACGGGCCACACCAGGTCCTTGGGGAAAATTATAGATACAAATGTACACGTTCAGAGAGAGAGGGGGTAAGACGCTGTACCCGGAATGCACGTGCGTCGCTGAAGAAACCGGAAACAAGTTTGTGCGTTCGATCGTACGACAACCCCCGCGGCCCAAACGAGCACCAAAACAGACAGGTGGATGGCTCCTGCGTTCTCGTCCCTCTACTGCGTGTCAAGCAGCTGGATGTTGTTTGGCACGTCACGACCAACCCTTTTTGCTTGTGCATGCACGCACGCGTGGCGCTGCTTCTGTGGCTGCCACTGTTAGTCTATTGTCTCTGCTGAATAAATTATTGTTGTCTTCCTCCTGCCGCCACCACCCTGAACCTCAGACTCTGGTAGACGTCTTAGACCCGGGGCATCTCCAAGAACTTCGCGAAGGGGAGTCGCGCCAGCTGAGGAGGGTTCCCCGCCTTGTGAAGAAGGCTGTGCGCAGGAAGAGGTGAGACAAGCTTGGACAGCAGTTCTTAGCCCTCATTTGCACAAGATGACATGATGAGACCTCGTTATTCTTCCCCAGGTAAATAATAAACAGGTCGTTTCGGCTTTTATGTGGAACCTAAGAACACAAGCGGGAAGAGGGGATTGTTTCGGTCCATTTACGCGGTTGCTCCGTGCCAAATTCTTTTCAAGGAATGATAGTTTGCGAGCTATCAGCGGCAGCGTGATACACCAGCTCGCGCGCGCGCTAGGTTAAGTGGGGGGTCTGAAGGCACGGCGCTTCGAAATTTGTGATGCGCTTTTTTTTTTTTTTCGTCTTTTTGTGACGTGTGTTGAGACGTGTCGTTCATGGTTCTCCAAAGAACGCGCTATATAGCTACCTCGGAGGAGATTATGGCGCATGTCGCGAGAGCAAAAGAAGGTTTAATATGTCTGTAGCTTAGATTCGGTTCAGAGATTGGACTCGAATTCCAGTTGGCTTTCTGGCACATATGACACCTTGGAATTCACTCCGCCGGCACTAGACACGAGCCTACCAATGCGCACGGCGTTCTCTGCACGGCGTATATTCTCCGATGTTGTGTGCAGTCTACAGCCGACCTTGAACTGAGAGCGATTTACGTAACTTTACATGCGCTGTTTGTGTGTGTGTCTTCTGCCCCCCCGCGCGCGCCCCGTGTGCTAGAGATGGGATTGTTGTGGTTTTGCAGCACTTCCGCCCGATAATTAGAGGGAAGTGAGTTGAAACAAGTACCGTTTCTCGTTTGGCTGTATTTTGTTCCTTCGCTATACAGGTTCCGAAAAAATGTGATATCTCGCTTGTTTATTACCAGGCACGACCCCACCCAAATCAACGCCGCATGCACCACTGCGACAAAAGACGAACAATTCCTGCGCTTGAAAACACGCTAAGAACGCTGAGCGCGCATGCTTCGTGCGGCATCCTCATGACAATCGCTGTACTTGCAGGCGTGTGAAGGATGTTACAAATCTTCTTGATCACGCGAATGTCCTGAAGCCCGAGTTCGTCGAAGGGCTCGTCGGTCTTCTGTCTCCGGACAACGCGGTGAGACACAAGTTTATAATCCAATACAACTGCAGTGTTTGAACATTTTAGACTGGTGCACTTCCGCGCTAGAGAGAGCAAGCTGCCGGATGGAGATATGCTGGTGTACTGTAACCTCTTTTTATTATTGCCAAGTCAGGACTATCCCTTCCCTCCGGACAATATTTGACCAGCTAATCCCGGGAATATCGCTTCTCTACACCAAAATCCCATCACCGCTGTGTGCGTGTGTGCAAGCGGCATCATGTTGTGTGCGTGTCGGTGCGTAAGAAAGACGCCGGTGTTGCACAGGTTCACAACGTTGGCCAATTACGGTCAGGACTGGCAATCTGCGGCGAAGGGTGCCCCCTTCAGCGCAACACGCTCCGCGAAAGAACCGCTTGAACAGTTTGCGCTCTGCCGAGTTTTTTGGTGTCTTGGAAGTTGCGGACCGGAGCCTTTGGATGTAAGCGGGAATGAATTTCACGAAACAAAGCGGTGTTTCGAGAACCAACAACCTCTCCGTTCCTCTCCAACCTTGTCTCCATGATTGTCGCTGCATGTGTTTGCAGCCCAACAGTACGGTATCGGGGAGAGATTCGCCTCTTCGTGAAACGGCGAACGTCGGCCCCGCAGCGTTCACGGAGGAAGAGGAAGGGCCGCCTTTTGGTATGCATACCACACCCGAGGAAATTCCCTCACCACCCGACCACCCGGGAGGTAAAGAGCTGGTGCTCTACCAGCCTCTGCCGTTCGTGATGATCGTCCCAGACACGGAGGGTGCTGACGGCGGCGAGTCTGGGGATGGGGGGTCGCCCGATCCCAAGGGAGGTCGTGAGCTGATGCTTTACCAGCCTCTGCCGTTCGGGATGACCGTCCCAGACACGGTGGGTGTCGACGGCGACGAGTCCCGGGATGGGGGGTCGCGCAATCCCAAGGGAGGTAAAAAGCTGATGCTCTTCCAGCCCCTGCCGTTCGGGATGACCGTCCAAGACACGGAGGGTGCTGACGGCGGCGAGTCCCGGGATGGGGGGTCGACACGTGCGGTCGTGTCCGATGCCATGGGAACGTCGGCTTGGGTGCCGGAAGGCCCACCCTCGCACACAGCGGTCGTGAATTCGGACGACGGCGCTGAAGACAAACTTCATCCCCACCCCGAGCCTCTTCATGCGGAGCCGGTGACGCTCGAAACTGTGCTCGACTCCGCGCAGCCGGACGACAACGGTCTTTCATCAGCACGAGAGGTGTCTCCGGCTCTGGTTCGCTGGGACGGCAGGCGAATCGCACAGCCGCATCCGGCCGTGGTTGGCGTGGTCTCCGCTATTTTTGCCGGAGCAGTAGTCCTGTTGTTATGCCAGTGGCGCTCACGGCGGACGCGTCTTCGACAACAGGCACTGGTGAGTCCCCAGGGGGTACTGAAGCGTCCTATCGCGTCTTTTTCCGTTGACTGTTCTCCACCAATCAAATAGGTTGCGCACGCAACGTGGTGAGCGAACCGGTTCGTTGCGTACCTCACACCGATCAGGCGTTCGTTCCGCGAGTGCTTTCGCCTTGCCAGATATGGTATCATTCGGAATGAAGTTTGCCTATGCTACCACACAACCTTATCTGTTGGTTTCGTTTTTTTATACCTTGCTTGTTCACTTGCTCTTTATCCCGTGTTTGCTTTGCCTGCACCCCTTGTCTTCACAGGGCCTCCCTCGACAGGACGCGCTTCGACGGGTGATCCTCAAGGACGCGGACCGATCGCGCCAGCGGGAGGTTTCCGTTTTCTGGCGTTGGCGGCTGGCGAGTTCGACAGGAATTGTGGCCGACCTCCGCGCCCAAGGCGAGCGAGCGGCGGCGGAGAACGAGGCAGCCCGCGCCATCGACCGCGAAGCCGCCCAAGGGCGACAAGAAGCGGCGGTGGGGATGGTGACGGCAGTGGAGACGAGGAGACGTGAATCGGCCGAGACAGCCCTCGACGAGGCCCGTGAAGCGGCAGCCGCCGACCGGGCGGAGCAGGAAGCTCGCATGGAGGAGCAGGAAGCTCGCATGGTGGAGCAGGAAGCTCTTATTCACTCGACGGAGGGATCTCTGGTGGGGACGCAGCGGGAGTTGCGTGAGACCAGGCAAGGCCTAACGGAGTCACGGGGCGTTGTTGAGGGGCTGCAGCAGCAGCTGAAGAAGGTCGAGGTGCGTGCGTGGGTGGGAAGGGGTGGTATTCAGAGTGTTTGTTTTGCGGGGAGCTTGTTGTTGTTGTTGTTGTGGGGGATGCAAGCAGTGAACTGCTAATACAATGCTGGGGCAGGCCGAGTTGCACCGAGTTGCAGCATCTTATGCTTCTGTTGCAGCTGTGTTGTTTCGTGACTAGAAAGAAGAACAAATATTCTTTGTCCTTCTTCAAGGCGAAACGCAAATCAACTGGAGTTTTGAGGGCGAGGTGTGACTATGTCTTTTGGGGCCGCATTCATGGTTTCAATTCTTCTGTTTTTGTACCTTGCTTGGTCACTTGTTATACGTATGTATCCCATGTTTGCTTTGCCTGCACCCCTTGTCTCCACAGGACCTTGCTCGGCAGGACGCTGCTGGTGTAATGCAAAATACCGGTATTATAGAAAAAAAATCACCGTGATTTCGTCACCATCTCATATAGTCATGGCATTCGAAAGCGGCTTCGGGAACACAACCCTCACGAGCACCGAACGTGGTGGTTGAAAGCAGAACACTGCGCTTGCAAATGTGAATTCCATTTGTATTTTACTCATTAATAGAGTAATATGTATCAAACAATGTTCATTGCTACGAAATGCGGATTATCCCCATTTCGCCAGTGTTGGAGTCGCGAACCCGCTAGATATATTTCTAGACAACATCACCGAGAGCACCGCGGCGACCAGCACACGCCACGAGGAAAAGGGCGAGTGAGGAAGTAGGTCAAGGTATTTATTTAGTGCTGTCATCATGTCGTGTCCCCGTGGTCTTGCCACTTGTGCGATGCCTCACCAAGGACCCCCGTGTGCTCGCGGCACAGAATGGTGCGAATCAGAATTTCGTGCACCAAGTGAAAAACAACCGTGCCCAGCCAGCCGCAACACTGCACATTCATGACTTTGCGCTTTCGAACCAAACGTCAACCTCGGTGGCGCATACCGTGGTCGTGTTACAGAAGGAGGATGCGGGCAAGGCGCGGGAGGCCACCCAGTGCTACCTTCGGCAGAGGCAGCAGGTCCGACACCTCGCGAAGGAGGTAGAGGGCAAACAGGAGGAGGTGGGTCACGAACGCGGTACAATATGGCCTGCATAAGTTCGTTTGTTGTCGCTGGTGTGTCGGGTCACGTTGCGAGTGACTTCATTTCATGTCTCCTACCGTCACGTGTATCGATCATGCTGATCCAAGCTTGTCTCTGATATCTGCCTGCCTCGTTCACAGGTAGCGGCGACGACACGGGCGCTAACGGAGGCGAGGCGGGACGGGGGGTCTCTCCGAAGGGAGAGGGATGGCCTGAGGTGAGCAAAGCATGTGGGCGGAGAGGGAGGTACCCTGGAGCGCTGTTGTTGTTGTTGTTGTTGTTGTTGTTGTTGTTGTTGTTGCTGCTGTTCCTGTTGACGCGTTCACGATGCTGATATTGATCGTTCTCGTTGTTGCTGTCGTTGTCGCTGTCATGGGCTCTGTTGCCCCTGGCGCTCATGTGATGGCACCCTTCTATCGTTCGCCTGCCGGTGTCTTGTTCACTAGCGCTTCCCTCGACGCGAAAGAGGGCGCCCTCTACGCGACACAGGACCGCGTCCGGGTCGAGCGGGAGCAGGCGGCGGCCAATGCCCGGCAGCTCAAGGGCCAGGTGGAGGAGCTGCATGAGGTGAATTTCAATATAGCGCCTTGGGCAGACGGAGGTGCAACGAGCGGGGGCATCATTTGCTCCTGCCGCAGCTGACGTGTTGTTTTGTGACTAGGATGAAGAATGAACGTTGTACTAAATAAATAAGGCGAAGCAGTAAACTGACGTTTGAACGGCGAAGTGTGACAGTTTTGAGGCCATACTTCGTGTTTTTATTGTTATATTCCCCGTTGATTTTGATCGGTCCCTTGCTTGTTGACTTGCTTCATCCAATGTTTGCTTCGGCTGTACCCGTTGGCTTCACAGGCACTAACGCAGGCGCAGCGCCAGGGGGGATCTCTCCAAAGGCAGCGGAATGGCCTGAGGTGAGCAAAGCATGTGGGCGAAGGAGGTATCCAGGAACGCCGTTGTGATTGTTGTTGTCGTTGCTGCTGCTGTTACGTTTACGATGGTGATACGATATTGCTCGCTCTCGTTGTTGCGATCGTTGTCGTTGTCACCACTTCTGTTGTTTGTTGTCTCTGGTGCTGGTACAACTGCAACCTTCTCTCGTTCGTATTTCGGCTTGTTCTCTAGGGCCGCTGTCTCCGCGATGGAGGACGTCGCCTGGGAGGACAGGAATCTGGCGGCAGACACCATCCGGCGGCTGAGGACGGAGCTGGAGGCCTCGCACCTGGAAGTCACGGCGGAAGAGGCGGCCGCTGCCGGGGCGAGGGCGGAGGCGGAGGAGCTGCGGCCGCAGCTGACGGAGGCGTTGCAGGTGTGTGTTTGTGTGTGTATTGTTTGGTAGGTAGCTTATGGTTATAGTTGTGGTGTGTGAGGTGAATTTCAATACAGCGCCTTGGGTAGACTGAGGTGCACGTACGAGCGGGGGCATCATTTGGTCCTTGCCGCAGCTGACGTGCTGTTTTGTGACTAGGATAAAGAATGAACTTTTCTGCGTGCTTGGTCAAGGCGAAACAGAAAACGGACGTTTTGACGGCGAGGTGTGACAGTTTTGAGGCCATATTTCATGTTTTTATTCTCCCCGTTGATTGTGATTCTGTCCTTTGCTTGTTGGTTTGCTTTATCCACTATTTGCCTCGGCTGCACCGTTGTCTTCGCAGGCGTTAACGGCTCTTCGAACGGAGAGGGATGGTTTGAGGTGAGCAAAGCATGTGGGCGGAGAGGGAGGTATCCAGAAACACTGTTGCTGTTGTTGTTGTTGTTGACGCGTTCACGATGCTGATATTGCCCCTCCTCGTTGTTGCTATCTTTGTCGTTGTCATGGGCTCTGTTGCCCCTGGCGCTGATGCGATTGCACCCTTCTGTCTTTCGCCTGCCGGCTTTGTTCTCTAGGGTCACCCTCTCCGCAGCAGAGGGCCGAACGGGCCAGGCGGTGGCCAAGGTCGGGCAGCTCCAGTGCCAGGTGGAAGAGCTGCGGGCAGCGCTGGAGGCCGCGCACCTCGAAGGCACGGCGGGAGAGGCCGTCATTGACAGGGCGAGGGTGGAGGCGGAGAAGCTGCGGAAGGAGCTGAGCGCACAGCAGGTGTGTGTTTTCACTATTAGCATCGACCGCGCAAACAGACTGGCCAATGAAACATAGCAAAACACTTTCCAACCAACGGGTAAGGATTCTACCGACAGGGGGGATGCAGGAGTTGGACTTCACTGTCCTGCTTCTCGTTCTCCCATGCTAACGTCGTCTCCCTGCACTGGGTTGCCTTCTATTCGAACGCACTTTACGCTAGTGTGTGCGGGTATTCAGTGTGTGGATTGGTTGGCAGGGAGCGTGTTGTCGTGGTGGTGTAAGGAATGAACTGCTAAACAGTGGCTTGGGTAGACTGAGGTAACGAGCGGCAGCAGAATCCCTCTCTCCTGCTGCAGGTGACGCGTTGTTTGTGTTTTTCGGCTAGAAGGAAGAATGACCATTTTCTTTCATCTCTCAGAAGGCGAAATGTTGGTTGACCTGTTGACAGCGAGGTGTGTGACTGTTTTCGTTGGCTTCCGCCGTTGATTCTGTTTCTGTCCCTTGCTTGTTCACTTACTTTGAAGCTTATCCCGTGTGTGCCTTCCCTGCATCGGGTGTCTCGACAGGACCTTGCGCGGCAGGCCGCGCAAGGTGCTGTCGAGACCAGCGGTGCTGGTGACGCGTTGTTTTTATTGCGGTTAGGGTTAACAGTCGCGTTTCTTTTGTCTTTCAAGCGACGAAATATTAAATTGGTGTTTTTGACGGCAAGGCGTGTGACTGTTTGGAGGCCTTCACTCGTTTTTGCCGTTGCTTTTGTTTCTGCCCCTTGCTTTCTCTGCCCCGGTTGCCCCTGTTGTCTCGATAGCGCCTCGGCCGGCATTATGCGCTTGGCTGGTTGATCCAGCGGGTCGCCCGCTCTCACCAGCGACAGATCTCGGCCTTCTGGCGCTGGAGACTGGCGCCGGCGCCGGCTACCGCCGCAATCCTGAGGCCGCGGGAATGGGAGGAGAGCATCGGGAGCGGGACTGTGGTCGCGGAGACCGCCCTCAGGAGGCGTGACGCCAGCGCTGAGCCGGCGACCGCCCGGGTCAAAGAAGAACGCCAGGAACTGCTGGACACTGGAACAGCTTCCGACACCAGTGCCACCGCCACCGCCACCGCCCCCCAAGCCGCGGTGACCACACTTGCCGCCGACCTCCGAACCCAATCCGAGACAGCGGCGTCGGACGAGGTCGGGCAGGAGGAAGGGGAGGCCCCGCACTGCGGGACGTGGGCGGTGGCGGATAGGGTCCAGGATCTCGAGCGGAAGGAGGAGGAGGAGGTCCGCAGCCAGAGGGAGGACGAGAAGGCTCGCGGGAAGGAGTCGTCAAGGCAGCGGGAGGGGCTGAGGACGGCGGCGCAGGAGGACGCGAAGCAGGTGTGTGGTGTGTGTGGTATTCGAAGTGTGTGTGTGGGAAGGGGAGCTTCTTTTGTCGTCGTGTTTGGGGGTGTGTGAGCGGTAAAACTGCTACATAGAGCGCCTTGGGCGGACATGAACAGGGCAACATTGGCGGTCATCCGTGTCAGCCACAGGGGCGGACGCATATCAGAGGTGCAAGCAAAGCAGGTTGGCGTCGAATGAGGATGGCGCCAAACGCGTGCGTGTGTCTATTGTGAAAACCAGGAGCAATACCAAGCTTGTTGATGCTACGATCACCCTCGATACAACACGCCTCTTTGTAGAACAGCGATTTCCCCGCATAGCTTCCGAAAGAGATATAAGAGTCGGCATGCAGCTAGACCGGGACCAGTGTCTTGCCTTTGGGCAAAACTTCGTTTCGACACAGGAGTATATGCACCTCACACACCTTTCCTCCCCCTCCCCCCTTTGTTGCCATGATCTCGGGACACGCTTGTGTACTTGACGGACGCGACGAAATGTACTTGTTTACCTTGGGACTCGTTGGGATACTGGGTTTTTCTCCAGGTGCCGAGCGGGAGGACACCCGAGGATGCTGCTGGTGCTGGTTCTAGTGGTGCTGGTGGTGGTGCTGGTGAGTTGACCGATCGTTCTGGAGATGTGCCCCGTGTCTCACGAGACGCGTTGTACCGTCGAAGGTGCACGAGGAATTGCAGCTAGAGTCGCTTCTGCAAGCTGGGACGATTTGAAACTATCGAGTGACGTGCTCAGTTTGTTGTACCATCTAGGAAGCGTTACGTCTGGCGGCGGCGGCGGTATGTAGCGGCAGAACGAGCGCCCGTCGCCAACTCCGGGTCCCGGTGTCCCGACAAACATTCTGATCTGTTTTTCGGTGTTAATAGGCTCTATATTCTTGGTCCCTCCTCTTTTGCAGGACTGAGGGCGTCCGTCTTGGGAGAGGAGATCTCGGGCCGGTTTTCCTCGACACCAGCACCCGCGTCGTCGCCCGTGTGCCGTGGACACTCGTCCCCCCAAACAGGGGAGACTGGGTTCGCCACGGCCAGGGGCGGAGGCGGGGCCGGCTGTGTGCCCGGTGCCACCCGGCAAACGGAGGGGGGAGAGACGGTGAGTGGAGGAAGCGTTTCCTCACCAGTTGTCGCCCTGCCTGTTTTCGTGGTGGACCAGCCGCCGAAGGGGTCACCCTTTGGCGGAGACAGCGCGAGGAGGCTGCTCCTAAACGTTTCGAAGGTGCAACATGTATTGTTGTTGCTGGGGGTGCTTGTGTGAGGCAGGAAGTGATGGGTCCTAAATGGCTGGTCGGTACCGGAGGCTGTAGTCGTTCGGGCGGCGGCTTTTGACCCATTCGGCTTCTATGCCGGTAGTACCGACCGTGTCGTGTTATCGTGTGGCTATGACACCGATGTCACGCCCGCGGAAAGTCAGTCATCTCCCAGGGGCCGTTCGGTCCGAATGGTACGGGTGACAGTCTTGGGTGGCGGGAGCGCTTCTGTATGTCGCCGACACACCCTCAGTTGTTCTTGGTCATGCTTACCTGTGCTCTGGTTACTTGTCTACTTTTGATATGTTGGTGTTTGTCGTTGTGTTGCCGCCTATTTTATAGACTACTTGGACTTGTTTTTGTACTTGATTCGTTTCTGGGCGTCCTTTGGTCTGCGCGTGTTTGAGTGCGTCGTTCAAACTGTGTCTACCCTTACCCCCCAGCCGGCCTACCTGAAGAGCCCCGACCGGGGGCCACACTGAAGAATCAAATGATTTTGTTTACACTAGAAAATGTTTTTTCTGTTCCCCTTCCAAACCCCACTTCACTCCCCCCCCCCGGCCTCGTGTCTTTGCGCTTAACGTATTTGCCCGGCGACCGAATTCTCGCGAAAGCCGATGACGAGCTCGTCGGCACCGCCCATGTCTAATGTTCGCGGCTCGTCGCCCCAGGTATTGGAGGGCTTGTCCGCGTCCAACATGACGTCGGCGACGGGCGACTCAGAGCTCCAGGGTGAGTCGCCTTTCCAACAGGCATGGAAAAAAGAACAACGAGTTATCATGCTTAGGTTGCCTTGTACTTGTGGGAAGCGCACTGGAATATTTTTTGCAATGTATGGCGCTTTGGGGTGTTGCGTTATCCCTCCGTGGACGCTTCGGTGCTGCGGCGTTGTGAAGAAAGTTATGTTATCCATTGGGGTCGATCAAACTGCAAAGGCCACCACGGTAGCTTGTCTGAGAATCTCGGTGGCCTTGCGCCAGGTGTCGTTCAACATGCTCTCTTTTACTTGTTGAGCTTGTTGGGCATGTGTGCTTCCGTTCCAAGACCTTCCACGCCATTCGCGCTGTGTTTGGTGGGTTCCAGGACCGCCATCAGCTGCCTCCTCGTCGTCGCACATGAATGACATTGGCGACACGCTTCCTGGGAGAGCGGAGAACGGGTCCCACGCTGGCATTGACGGGGACAGGGCTGGTTCCCGGCCAGAAGCCATCCACACGTCGGAGGTCCGGTTGCCGTGCCAAGGGGAGACAGCCGTGAGTAGAATAATCTTGTCTCACCAGTTGCCACCCGGTCCTCTTTTGTGGCTGACGGGGGCTCTTCTTGGGCAGTATATAGTAGCGCTTCGGTTTGTCCCCGTCATACATTCGGCTGTTCTTGGTCATGCGCACCTGCTTTCTGCTTTCGTGTCTATTGTATTATGCTTTAGTGTTGTTCGCTGCGGTGCTTTCCTGATGGTTTCGTTCGCCGTTTCTTGTACTTGTTGCATTTTTTGGCGTCCTTTTGGTTTACGGCGTGTTTGAGTGCGCCATCCAGAGACATCCATGGTGGTAGTCGTGTTGTCTACATCGCTGCCGTGTGGTTGTCGCCAGCACGTTGCGAAGAGGGTTGATTTTCGAGCACGGCCACCCCGCTCCTCTTGCTGGCCTACATACAAGATTTCAATCCTGCCTCGCGTGCCGCGTCACCCTAGATGGAATATGCCTCTTTGTGAAACACGGTGCTCGTCGGTCAGGATGCAGTCCGGGACTTCTCGCCATTCTTTCGGGACCACTTCGATGTCACCATCCGGCATGTTCCCTTGGAGTCTGCAGTTTACATCTCCGGGAAGGCTGAAGACGGGGTGGTTCACGTGGCCGCCGAGTGCTTCGAGCATGGCCTTCGCGTTTGTCGCGATGACGAAGTGAAGGTACGACCCGTGGTCTGCGCAAAGTCTTGTTCTAGAGCAATGTTCCCCCCCCAAGTGTGCTTGAGCGCATGGAATTAGTGATACGTTGAACGCAAAGTTTTATTGACTTTCTTGGTACACATGAGACCAGAAGGACCCCGTCACCGTTCGGGACCTGACGGGCTCATGTCGGAACATTAATATTGCCTGCCGAGTTGATCGCTTGCCAGCAAGTGATGCAACCGGAAACTTGGGGGAACCAAAGCGAATGCCAACGAACTCATCCCACCCAATGTGTCCCCTCACTTGCGGTCGGCCTGTCCAACCAGGCCGCGGATTTCCTTCTTCTGCGAGCCCGTGTCCGCTCGGCACGTGACCCGGACGGCTCGCAGTACTTGCTGCCGTTGGAGGTCAGCATCAAGCTGCGCAGGAGACTTCGTGATCTGGGCGACCTGTACGGAGTTGTGATCAACAGCGTGCCGGCGAGATCGGTGGGGCTTGGGTCTGGAGGTGGCGGCAGCGGCGGCGGCGGTGGGCTACCAGAATACCTTTGTTGTCCCGGGGTGGACACCGACGACAACACACAAGACCATCGCAAGGTTGTGCAGATCTGGGGTCTGCGGGACTGTGTTGTCGGCGCCTTTGACCGCGTGGTGGCCAGCTTGTTAGACAACATGGAGTACGTCGTCAAGCTTGGTTCCGTGGGTGCTGACGAGCTTAAAAGACTTAGATTCAAGGGAAAGAATGTGAGTCTCACGCGACGCACCGCAAACCAAGCCAGCAGCTGTTGGTGTTTAACGCCGTCTTGGGCCTGCACGCTGGTAGCGGAACGTTCCATGGTATTCGGACTAGGAGGGTTTAGTGGTACGGTATGGGTAGAACGACGGGGCAGCCATACACTTTAACAGACGTTGAATGGCTTGCGGGCTGAACGAAGGTTCCGGTGGCTGTATCCCTGCGTTCCCCGCATAAAACGCATGTTAGAGATGTATGTTTAGCGTCCGCCCAACGCGTTGGTTCCTTTGTTCGGCTACTTGTCGTAGGACAGGCAAAAAAACGGATAGCTGTTGACCCCGTTCTGTGAAGCCCTCGCTCGCGGGTTGTGGTACGCACATCAAAGACTCTCCTTTTGGTTCGGGGGGCACGCTGTTCGAATTGGTGCTTTCGATGTCGGGAACGACGTCGTACATGAACGTTTTGATGTAATTTTCTTGTTTCGAAACATGACCCTGTCCTTGTGGTACCGATGTTCAACGCCGTTGGCAGGTGAAGTATTTCACGGAAGGGGGCGTCACAGGGGTACGGATCTCGGGCAGACCTCACCTTTTTGCCGACGCAAATGTCAGCACAGTCCTGCAGTCCTTGCCGGAGAGGCTGCCGGATAAAGTGCAATGCGTGAGTGGATCGTATTCTGTCGCAGAGCGATTATGTGATTATGTACAGCAGCGATGCACGGTGCTACCACCAAGGCGCTAGTAGACGCGTCCTGTGTTCAGACATTTTAGAAATCCATCCGAAAATGACATCTTGTCTGGGTAGGATCGCTCTCTGTCGTGATGTTGAATGAGTATCTGCATAGATCTGGCAGACACCTGGCGAAACGGGCACATTGTTATTAGCTGCGAGTAAAAGAGGGAAGAGAGTGCTGAACTCTTCTCGCATTAAAAATCGAAGGCAACGTGCCGCAGGAGGGGAGGGTAGAGAGGGGCCCTTCTGTGTGACCACGGGTCGGAGAAAACGGCACTGGTGCTGTGAGCGCTGATTTGAAGTGAAGACAAAAAAAAAAAAACAAGTTCGTCTTGGATGAACCTACACAAGTGCCTAACCTAATGATTTGGGGCAGGAAGCTGGAGAAATAATTTGAGGAGGAAAGTGTAGTTGGATTGGCGATGGCCGAGAGGAAATTCAACAAAGCTCATGTATCCAACGCTGTGGAGACGTTGTGTGCATCATGGTGTGCTCGTTCGTATTTTTCACTTCCGCGGGCGCCCTACATCTTTTGTCTCTCATCTTCGAAGTCGTGACATCGCAAGAAATAGCTCTGAATGAGATGCGTGGGGCTGCTTGAATACGCCAACCTCCAGCGAAGAGGGTGCTATTTTTGCTTTCTCGAAACGTTTTTTGAAACGTTTTTTGGGATGAAGAGTGGTGGCGGAGGCATCTCGTCGGGAGAGGGACAACGTTTTCTACGATCTCGACTAAATGTATGTACGTTGGCCGCCGCCGCCGCCGCCGCCTCCCCCGGCCTGAAGTCATGAAGTGGTTCGGCCTCATACGGACGATTCGTGCCTTGAGTATTCCCCAGTTTAAACGGGTGACCTTGAGAATATACTGTATCATGGTGCGGCACCGTGTATGGTATGTTGGTTTACGAGCCCCCTGATGCAATGCGGTGTGCTTGCGTGTCGCAAACACCTTTGGCTCGTTCAGGTGGACATGAAGTACACCGGCGCCATGCGAGCGCTCAGCAGGCCCTGGGCTATCGATGAGATCGCCCAAGCCAGCGGCATCGACCAGTCGCAAGTCAGAGTCACTCCGCAGTGGCAGAACAAGTGTATGCTGCTGCAGGTGCTGAAGCTCGGTGGCGACCGTGGGGCGATCCAGGGGATGGTGAGTAGTCTCGAGTGTTGGCCCGCTTCGTGTCCAATCCAGGCATTTTCCGTGCTCTCTACATGTATGTATGTATGCAGGTTGGGTGCTCTTAGGCGAGGACACACTTGCAAGCTGAACTGTTACGACGGGAGTTGTGTTGGTTCCCTTTTGGTTGCGTAGTTTCACGTGCTCTTGCTTTTCGTTCGGTTGGTGGAGGAGGAAGTGGGTGCGGGGAGGCAACGGGTAGCTTCCAAGACGAGTGCTCATGTCAACACAACAAGCAGCTGTAGTGGTGACCTTCCTCTCTCTCTCCCTCACGCACTAACGCCACGGGATAACGTCCTGTTGGGAGATTATTTTGTGGTGTGCGGCTGGGGATGGCCATGTACCTCGTCCAAGCAGGTTGATCGACGCCTGGCTTGGGGTTTGGTCGGCATACCTTAATAAGGGACTGAATGGGATTCGGGTTAGCGGCACGCGGGACCGTGGAAAGGGGCAAGTGCACAGGGTGTGACGAACTTGTTGGTAGCAAGTACTTCGCACTTTCGATACGGATCCGCCAAGCGTCGACGTGAATTTGTACAGCCAGCCACCGAAAACTGACGGTTGTTCACGACGAAATGATCTTCACTTTTCTCTCTGATGTTCCCCACGCATCCCATCACGTTTGTTGCTTATGGTGCCCTGGTATATTCAGTGCACCTTCCTCGAGGGCCGAGTGAAGGAGTGGCGGGGGCAACGCTTGGTCGTTACCCTTACCGCCGAAATCATCGATAAGGCCCGAAAGCGTTTCTTTTCAAGCGGAAGTGCTGGCGGGTTCCACTTCTCCAGCTTTTTCGTGGCCTCACTGTCGGAGGAGATCGGAGAGCACCTATGGCTGGACGGCTTCCAGCTGACGGCCAGAGTCGACCCCGATGACCGAGACAGCGCCCAGGCCAAGCTGGAGACGATGGTAAGGCCGAGGCTTGTCGAGATGCCAGAAGAAAGGCACAGATGACAATCGGTGCTGAGGTTTGAGCGCAAATGCGATCGTGAATATGCCACGCCTAAGCATTCCTCAGGTAGCACAGCCTCGCTGCGATCCGGTATGCGTGGCCACCCTCATTTTGGAATAATCTCGCACAGCGAAATATCGTCTCAATACACTCCGATGGGGTTTCATCGCCTAGGTTCCGAAGGAAATGCCATTTGGCTTGTGGCTGGACCGGGATGCGGCTGCTTTTTTTCCTTGGAGCGAAAATCGTTGTAAGATAGACTATTCACCTCACAAAACTTAAATCTTTCCTTCCCCTCGCCGCTGTTTCCATGACCTCGGGACATGCTTGCGGACGTGCGGACTTGGCGAAATCAACTCGTGTATTTTGGAACTTGTTGGAACTCTGGGGGTTGTCTCAGGTGACACGGTTTACGGAAGCAATCGGTGCAGGTGGTGGACGAGGTGCTGGTGGAGGGGGTGGTGGTGGAGGAGG